TGAGAGATAGTCCACGACTCACATCCATATGTAGCCACAGGGAAGATGCATGCTCTTAAAATTCTAATTTTGATCTCCTGTAAATGGCACAGAGCTAACATTTTATTTGTTGTTAGCTTGCTTCATCGACTACATTATGTCCCCATGTATTTTCCGGGGTCCCATTGTGGGGAAGACAAGAATAGATCCAGTCTTCCTATCAAGCATGTCATAAGAGTCAACAAATTAGTGGTTTCCAAATTGGAGTGCATCTGCGTACAGTTAAGTCAGATCTGTAAAATGGATGTGCATACAAAACCCAAGTTCCGGAACAAGACTAGAGCCCGGAAGTGGACGAACAACTAAAACTTTCAACCGGTGAACCCGTTGACGAAGATAAAGACCTATTGCGTAGAAGCCAGAAGATGATTCATTGCGCCAGATTGTATCCCTTTTGGCTCCGGCTGTCTCCGCACAGTGGCTGGTGAGGGCGAGAGGGTTGCAAAAGGCACGAACTCCGTATCTTCAGCAGTAACCCCCTAATGATCACCAAAACACTGCAGAGCCAAGGAAAAAGTCTGGCATGGAACCTACAACTGTCACAGCACTAGGCAAACTTACAGCTTATCCACGGGTTTCCAGGATTTCCCTTGTTTGGGGTCGTCTAAAATTATAGTACTGATATCCCCCTTAGCGTAAGCACAGTTCTTTTGAACATATTCAGGACTAGCTCGAGGCGGGCAAGATACCCACAGGACTAGCTCGAGGCGGGCAAGATACCCACAGGACTAGCTCGAGGCCGGCAAGATACCCACAGGACTATCTCGAGGCTGGCAAGATACCCACAGGACTAGCTCGAGGCTGGCAAGATACCCACAGGACTAGCTCGAGGCTGGCAAGATACCCACACTAGCTCGACTACAGGACTCGAGGCGGGCAAGATACCCACAGGACTAGCTCGAGGCGGCAAGATACCCACAGGACTAGCTCGAGGCCGGCAAGATACCCACAGGACTAGCTCGAGGCCGGCAAGATACCCACAGGACTAGCTCGAGGCCGGCAAGATACCCACAGGACTAGCTCGAGGCCGGCAAGATACCCACAGGACTAGCTCGAGGCCGGCAAGATACCCACAGGACTAGCTAGGCTCGAAGATACCCACAGGACTAGGAGGCAAGATACCCACAGGACTAGCTCGAGGCCGGCAAGATACCCACAGGACTAGCTCGAGGCCGGCAAGATACCCACAGGACTAGCTCGAGGCCGGCAAGATACCCCACAGGACTAGCTCGAGGCCGGCAAGATACCCACAGGACTAGCTCGAGGCCGGCAAGATACCCACAGGACTAGCTCGAGGCCGGCAAGATACCCACAGGACTAGCTCGAGGCCGGCAAGATACCCACAGGACTAGCTCGAGAGCCGGCAAGATACCCACAGGACTAGCTCGAGGCCGGCAAGATACCCACAGGACTAGCTCGAGGCCGGCAAGATACCCACAGGACTAGCTCGAGGCCGGCAAGATACCCACAGGACTAGCTCGAGGCCGGCAAGATACCCACAGGACTAGCTCGAGGCCGGCAAGATACCCACAGGACTAGCTCGAGGCCGGCAAGATACCCACAGGACTAGCTCGAGGCCGGCAAGATACCCACAGGACTAGCTCGAGGCCGGCAAGATACCCACAGGACTAGCTCGAGGCCGGCAAGATACCCACAGGACTAGCTCGAGGCCGGCAAGATACCCACAGGACTAGCTCGAGGCCGGCAAGATACCCACAGGACTAGCTCGAGGCCGGCAAGATACCCACAGGACTAGCTCGAGGCCGGCAAGATACCCACAGGACTAGCTCGAGGCCGGCAAGATACCCACAGGACTAGCTCGAGGCTGGCAAGATACCCACAGGACTAGCTCGAGGCCGGCAAGATACCCACAGGACTAGCTCGAGGCTGGCAAGATACCCACAGGACTAGCTCGAGGCTGGCAAGATACCCACAGGACTAGCTCGAGGCCGGCAAGATACCCACAGGACTAGCTCGAGGCCGGCAAGATACCCACAGGACTAGCTCGAGGCCGGCAAGATACCCACAGGACTAGCTCGAGGCTGGCAAGATACCCACAGGACTAGCTCGAGGCTGGCAAGATACCCACAGGACTAGCTCGAGGCTGGCAAGATCCCCACAGGACTAGCTCGAGGCCGGCAAGATACCCACAGGACTAGCTCGAGGCCGGCAAGATACCCACAGGACTAGCTCGAGGCTGGCAAGATACCCACAGGACTAGCTCGAGGCCGGCAAGATACCCACAGGACTAGCTCGAGGCCGGCAAGATACCCACAGGACTAGCTCGAGGCCGGCAAGATACCCACAGGACTAGCTCGAGGCCGGCAAGATACCCACAGGACTAGCTCGAGGCCGGCAAGATACCCACAGGACTAGCTCGAGGCGGGCAAGATACCCACAGGACTAGCTCGAGGCCGGCAAGATACCCACAGGACTAGCTCCGGCAAGATACCCACAGGACAAGCTCGAGGCCATACCCACAGGACTAGCTCGAGGCCGGCAAGATACCCACAGGACTAGCTCGAGGCGGGCAAGATACCCACAGGACTAGCTCGAGGCCGGCAAGATACCCACAGGACTAGCTCGAGGCCGGCAAGATACCCACAGGACTAGCTCGAGGCCGGGCAAGATACCCACAGGACTAGCTCGAGGCCGGCAAGATACCCACAGGACTAGCTCGAGGCCGGCAAGATACCCACAGGACTAGCTCGAGGCCGGCAAGATACCCACAGGACTAGCTCGAGGCCGGCAAGATACCCACAGGACTAGCTCGAGGCGGGCAAGATACCCACAGGACTAGCTCGAGGCGGGCAAGATACCCACAGGAAACCGATGCAGACGGAGGATACAGTGCATGAAGCACCCAGGTTTAGAGCCCAGACAAAAGACTGCCCAGTAGGTGCCAGACGGAAGATGAGCCAACCTTATGTAAAACAGCAAGGGAAGTCACCAGATCCAACATCCTACTTATTACCCTGACAGCCCAGGTTGAAAGGGATCGGTCTATAAAAGGGGGTGGGGGGGGATCATGTTTACTTCCCGCCATTTTTGCTGGGCTAGTATTTAAAGAACACCCAGAATAGCCCATACAAAAACACACGCGCGCGCGAGCACACACATACACACTCACACACACAAAGAGTCTGAAGTTTGAACAACGGATCAACATCATAGCACACGGTTAGTAACCCATAAGTGCTCCGTTATTTTTCTAACTCAAGTGTGAGTCCGAAGAAGCTCAGCACAGTGCACAGGCTCTCTAGCACTGGCGAGGATCCTGAAATACTTTGGGTGAATTGTTAACTCCAAATTTTTGCCCGGGCAGCGCCGTTAGGCTACTCTTTTCGATTTCCAACTACCAAGGGATTTTGTACGTGCGCGAAAATGCACACGGGCGTCCTATCTGACTACCCAGAGAACAGGGAGAATTACTAGAAGTCCAAGTCCAAGTGAAAAAATCCCAGCCCTTACCTGGGATTAAACCCGGAACCTCTAGCACTCGAGGCGGACAGCATGCCTCAAGACCATGCAGCCGCACACACAGTGTGAAAGAAAGAACACATAGAACAATCTACAAAAAAATAACAAACAGAATGTTAAAAAAAAAGAACCTAGGAATAGTTTAGGTACAACACATATAATTAAAAAAGTAGTAATTGTGGCAATAATCAGCATTGAACTTACATACAGTCTGTTACAGTTAAGATTTTGTATTTGGTTTACTGTGATTGATATGCCATATTGTGTGTGAAGTATTGAGATCCCTCACCTCATTCTATCACTAGTTTGCTTTCCCTTCCTATTTCCTGCCTTTCTCACTTTCATCCCTTTGTCCTTACTCTCCTTCCTCCTCTAATTTTCTCTCTCTCCCCCCCCCCCCCCCCCCCCCCCCACACACCACACTCTCCTCTTCTTCTGCACCTTCTCCTACCTGGACATAGGTTGTGGAATCATCAGTACAAAAGTTTCTCTGTTACAAGGTGTGAAGATTGGGTGTGTGATTACATTTATGTACCAACAGCTGTTGGCTGGGCCACACTTTGTGGGCAGAAACAGTAATAAAGTCCAGGGTGTCCCATAAGTTTCCATACATAGTGAAAAGTGTTTTAAAAACACATTTTGGTGGATGCCCTTCACTGCTGAAGAACACATGTAAGCACAGCTGGAGTTATGCTTGTAGTAGCCTTGATGAAATGTTTTTGTCCCTCCTGTGTATAGACACTTGTGGGAACACCCTGTAGCAGCAACTGATTCAGATGTGGACAATGAAGCGTTGTGCCTTTAGCGCTGTCTCCCCCCCCCCCCTCTTGCAGTACTTCTGCTCATACTCAGGTGCCAAAGGTGCCTGAGAACATCCCTTTACAGAAAACAGAGATGCGAAAACAAAGAAAATATAGGGGATTGGGGCCTCAGCGAGTCTGAGTCCCCAGGTTCTGGTACCTTTAATAGAGGGCTATGTCTAAACCTCAAACTAATGCAGGTGAAAGTCAGGTCCCTGGTAGCAACCAGTAAATAAACTAAGCCACATCAGCATCTTTTAACTTCAGTAGTTATTCAATGTAGATGAAGAAAAATTACCACATTCTTCAAAACTTGAACTCTGAATCTTTCCGAGTGAGTTCCTGGGTCCCTTTTCCCCCTCCCCGCCCCACAAGTCGCAAAAGTCACTTAATTAGGGGTCTTTCTTTCAAAGTTCCAAAGCAACAGTGTGTATACAATAAGCCAGATCTGTAAAATGGATGTACATGCAAGACTCAAGTCCTTGATCAACACCAGAGTCCAGGATGGACAGATAACCAGAACTTTCCACCAGAGTTTACAGCTGGTGAATGCTAAACAGGAGGAGAAGAAGAAGTCTTGAGCCACCTTTAAAGATTCTAAGGTAAGAGTGTTCTACTCTGTGATATCCTGATCAGTATTATCCTGAAATATCATTGCTTTGATTTTTTTCTCATCCCCAGACCACACCTGTGAGGACAGACAAAGAGCTAGCATCAGAAGCTTCACTAACCAATGGAGAGAGTTTCATCCTGAAGCTGTTCCAGGCTTTACACAGTTCCACGCTGACCTGTCCCACCTGTGGTGAACACAGCAACACCTTTGACCCCTACCTATGCCTGTCCTTGCCCCTACCCCAGGGCTACCAGCGGGTTGTGTATGTCATCGTTGTCTTCCTGGACTCCAAGAAGTCCCATCAAGTCATGATGGCGTTCACCTTGCATCAGTATGATGAGGTCAGGGAACTAAGGGAACTTGTAGCATCTAGTGCCAGAATTCCGGCAAAGCAGGTAATTGATTATAGATGTTATCAATGAGGGTGTATCATGACCAGTGTTCAAGTCATTAGTCTAGGTCAGGGCTATTTAACTGGTGGCCATATCTTGCCTGCAGAGGCCTAGTAAATGCAATGCCAACTGTATAGTATTAATGATCTTTCTATTCTGGAGCTGGCTTGTTTGGCCCATAACAATGTCCATGAGTTAACTTATTTGAATAGCACTGGCCTATTTGATACTCATGAAGCGTTGTGTCTTCAGCCCTTACCCCTGCAGTACCTCTTGCTTGTACTCAGGCGCCTTTGGCACCTGAGAACATCTGCTCACAGTAAACAGAGTTGCCAAAACAAACCTGTGGCAGCCACTTTTTGACATGGTGTGTATACACCGCGAAAGCAAGCCACGCTGTAACACCCCCGTGACATAGGACAGCCCATGGGAACTGGCATGACGTGAATGGGAGCCGGCATGAAATCTCGCACGCGAACGAGATGGGGATGACTTTCATGATTATTTCAGAGTATCTGAATACAAAACAAGTATTTCCTAAGGACATCTTCAGTGGGGTACAAGATGACAAGGTTACCTCTACTACAGTATAAAGATGTTTGCAAGCAGGACATGAATGATACATAAAGTGAGCTGAAGCCGTGGGAACTGGATACATGGACCATGTTGCTTGGAGGAGGAAATGACAAAAGATGGCCAAACCAAATTGATTCTTTGTTTTTCAATAAATGTGATGATGGATATTGTTCCAACAGTTCTTGTGATCATGTCGTTTCTCACTAGATCTCTTCTGGTTTTATTCGCAGCTATTCTCAAACATCTGATCTCACAGGTGATTAGTTTTATTTCAGTTTTTTGGGTCAATGTCTAAGTCTGACATTGGTAACTTGAAGTCTATATAAATATTGTGTTTATAATTTGTCTTTTTGTCTCTTTTTGGATAGCCGGGTGTTTTAAAATTAGAGCAAGTTGGTACCTAACATTGTTGGGTTGTTGGATTCTCATTTCTATCTCTCTGTCTATTTTACCATTGTATGTAAAGATTACAGTATTACTATCAACATCACAAAAGGGTTTAGAAAACTTATTAACCTCACTCCAAAGAAATAGTGAAAATCATAACTTATTTCTTAACATAGCAAAAACAAAGATAATGCATACAAACAAAACTGCCATGGAGAAGGAAATATATGTTAATGAGGAAAGATTGGAAGTGGTGGAAAATTTCGAATATCTTGGGTCACCGGTTACCAACAATGGTGACACAATGAAAGAAATTAAACGGCGACTATCAATTGCTCTTCAAAGACTAAAACAACTGAATAAATTATGGAATTGTACAGATAGAATTACAAAGGTCAGATTTTTAAGAGCATGCATCTTTCCCATTGCAACATACGCCTGTGAGACCTGGACACTTACTAAACAAGCGGAACAGCGCATAAATGCATTTGAATATAAATGTTACAGACAGGTTCTAAGAATATCTTGGGTAAAGAAAAGAACAAATGCATCCATACTTCAAGAGCTGAATATTGAAGAGGGTTGGCTACTAAAGACAATAAAACAAAGAAAATTGAAATACTTTGGTCACTTGAAACGTCATGGAAGTCTAGAGAGAACAATAATTGAGGGGTATATGCCTGGGAAGAGAGGAAGAGGAAGGCCAAGGAGAAGATGGGTGCAGGATGTGGCAGATGATCTCCAGATGGGTGTATCAGACGCAGGACATCTTGCTCAGGATAGGAAGGTTTTCCGGAGGGTTGTTATGGCAGCGAGGTTCCGCGAGGGACATGCTACTGAATGAATGAATGTAAAGATGCTTGCCAGGTATTTAAATTCTTTCACTTGTTTCAAACTTTGATCTTTGATCTTTATGTCGATGGTTTGTTGCTCTCTACTTATTCTTATGACTTCTGTTTTTTCAATATTGATCTTCATGTGATGTTTAAGACAACTGTCGTGTAGTTGGTTTATGTGGTCCTGCAGCTGTTTACTTTCACGCGGAATATGCACGGATCGTCGGCAAAGAGCAGCTCATTGAAGTCCTCCTGTTTATCGACATCTGGTGGTGTTATGTCTATTTTATTAAAATTGTCCATGAATATTATAAAAAGTAAAGGTGAAAGAACACACCCTTGCCTCACACCTGATGCCGATAGGTTATGTACCTATAAAGGATGGTTTGCACATCTTGTTGTGGCATACAGCTAGGCTGTGATATCCACACTTTTCACCAAATTAGTCACCTTTACGACATGCTTGTTAGAGAGGCAGTAGATTTGTTCTCTCCCCCCCCCCCCTCCCCCCCACCCCAGCTTTTCCTCCAGTGGGGCTCTGAAACCCAAATGTGGAACATTGCTATGGTTTCATTAACCTTTTCTGGACAATTGTGTGACGTAGGAAATACAGAAAATTTGTTGATTTTTTTTCTAGCTCATGTTTGTTCAACTGGAAGATGATAGTTTTGGCACCACATACCGTGATGAGCAACCATTGAGTGACATTCCCGAGAATGAGGTGGTATATGCATTTGAAATGCACCCAGAGAATGCTGCCAGACGCAACTCAACACAAGAGTTTGACAGTCCCCTATCTCAGGTGCTGATGATGAATATTGAGATCACAGGAGAGTCAGCCGACAGGTGAGAACTCTTGTCTTTCCCATGAAATAGCTAATTATATTGGATGGAATGATTATGTATATCAAACAGATAGACTTGTATTGATCGGCACTCGTTTAAAGAAGTAGAAAGATAGCACACACTACTAAAGTTACCCTGCCAAGAATCGAACCTGTTACCTCCAGGTCACATCAGCGCCTTGCTGCAGAAACAAGTACTAAGATGCATGACCAACTAGGCACTCTGTTTGATTAATAAAATATAATTTTAAGCACTCAGTGGTTCCCCATCTGTTTCCTTTTTAAAAAAAAAAATATACTTTGCAGGTTGGAATGCGCTAAGAGTAATAGCCTTCTTAGTAAAAAGAGTAATAACTAAGAGTTATGAGTAAGTAAAGAAAGTAAAGGACGGTGTCATATCGGGCATTTGATGCAAAATCATGTCTTCATAGAACAATCATCACTAGGTGGATGATGGGGTTAGCATCTTGCTGGCCACCTTAACTTCCAAGGACTATACCTGCTGTCCGTTTTAGGCTGGGTCGACCTGGGGACCAGGGCCAGTTTGGAAAAATTCTGACTTGATGCAGATTTAAACCCATGACTTTTGACTGGCAGATGGGTGCCTAGCTGTACACTACAATGGCTCCCAAGAGTTGAGAGTAATAAGAGTAATCAGTTGAGAGTAGTAACTAATTGGATCAGTGGGATTCCTTTTTCTATGGCATATTTGGTTGGGGTTTACTGGGCATTGGAGTTTACTGGGCATTGGGGTTTAATGGGCATTGGGGTTTAGTGGTGGGCACTGGGGTTTGGTGGGCACTGGGGTTTAGTGGGTGTTGGGGTTTACTGGGCATTGGGGTTTAGTGGGTGTTGGGGTTTAGTGGGTGTTGGGGTTTAGTGGGTGTTGGGGTTTAGTGGGTGTTGGGGTTTACTGGGCATTGGGGTTTAATGGGCATTGGGGTTTAGTGGTGGGCACTGGGGTTTAGTGGTCATTGGGGTTTAGTGGGCATTGGGGTTTATCTGGCATTGGGGTTTAATGGGCATTGGGGTTTACTGGGCATTGGGGTTTATCTGGCATTGGGGTTTACTGGGCATTGGGGTTTACTGGGCATTGGGGTTTATCTGGGCATTGGGGTTTACTGGGGGCATTGGGGTTTATCTGGCATTGGGGTTTACTGGGCATTGGGGTTTACTGGGCATTGGGGTTTACTGGGCATTGGGGTTTATCTGGCATTGGGGTTTACTGGGCATTGGGGTTTACTGGGCATTGGGGTTTATCTGGCATTGGGGTTTATCTGGCATTGGGGTTTATCTGGCATTGGGGTTTATCTGGCATTGGGGTTTATCTGGCATTGGGGTTTATCTGGCATTGGGGTTTATCTGGCATTGGGGTTTACTGGGCATTGGGGTTTATCTGGCATTGGGGTTTATCTGGCATTGGGGTTTATCTGGCATTGGGGTTTATCTGGCATTGGGGTTTACTGGGCATTGGGGTTTATCTGGCATTGGGGTTTACTGGGCATTGGGGTTTACTGGGCATTGGGGTTTAATGGGGATTGGGGTTTAGTGGTGGGCACTGGGATTTAATGGGCATTGGGGTTTAGTGGGCATTGGGGTTTAATGGGCATTGGGGTTAACTGGGCATTGGGGTTTAGTGGGCATTGGGGTTTATCTGGCATTGGGGTTTACTGGGCGTTGGGGTTAACTGGGCATTGGGGTTTAGTGGTGGGCACTGGGGTTTAATGGGCATTGGGGTTTATCTGGCATTGGGGTTTAATGGGCGTTGGGGTTTACTGGGCATTGGGGTTTATCTGGCGTTGGGGTTTACTGGGCGTTGGGGTTTACTGGGCATTGGGGTTTAGTGGGTGTTGGGGTTTACTGGGCATTGGGGTTTAGTGGGTGTTGGGGTTACTGGGCATTGGGGTTTAGTGGGTGTTGGGGTTTACTGGGCATTGGGGTTTAGTGGGTGTTGGGGTTTACTGGGCATTGGGGTTTAGTGGGCATTGGGGTTTAGTGGGCGTTGGGGTTTAGTGGGTGTTGGGGTTTACTGGGCATTGGGGTTTAGTGGGCATTGGGGTTTAGTGGGCGTTGGGGTTTAGTGGGCGTTGGGGTTTAGTGGGTGTTGGGGTTTACTGGGCATTGGGGTTTACTGGGCATTGAGGTTTAGTGGTGGGCATTGGGGTTTACTGGGCATTGAGGTTTAGTGGGTGTTGGGGTTTAGTGGTGGGCATTGGGGTTTAGTGGTGGGCATTGGGGTTTAGTGGGTGTTGGGGTTTAGTGGTGGGCATTGGGGTTTAGTGGGTGTTGGGGTTTATCTGGCATTGGGGTTTACTTGGCATTAGTTGTTTCTTGTAGGGGAATAAACAGGAGAAGAAAGTAGTTAAAATCGATTATATCCTTGGCTGCCAGCCACGAGTGTTGCATAAAGTACAAACTCCATAGCTACAGTGACAGTACCCAGGGATCTTCATTACAGCTGAAGTTTTGAACTGGACCACTATCTGAAGAGGAGGAGAGGAACAGTTTCTGCATAACTAATCACTGTTATTTTTATTTAATTGATATTTCAATCCCTATTCACCTACAGATTTGGCAGCCCGGCTGTACTGAGGGTGAGAAGAGACGTCACATGGACGGATCTGCACATGGAGATCCTGAAAAAGATGGAGAATTCATTAAGTGATGATGTCTTTACGAATCAGGCAAGTTATATGGGAAGTTGAGTACCTTCACTTTTGATAGTTTTCATATGTCATGGGATGATATCGGTTGGTAGTTTTTAAGTTATTCATTGTTCAAAATATTGGATTTGGTTAATTTCATTTGTGCTTCTTCTCCTCCTTTTTCTCCTTCTTCTTCTCCCCCCTCTCCTCCTCATCATCCTCCTCTTTTTCTTCTTCTTTTTCTTCTTCTTCATGTTCACGTTCACCGGCTGTAACTCAGGTGGAAAGTTCTGGTTGTTTGCTCACTCCTGGACTTACTTTGTTCTTGTTCCAGAATTTGAGTTTTGCATCACATCTGCTTTACAGATCTGGCTTATTTCTATGCATCCTGCTGGTTCCTTGCTTCTCTGGCAGATACATACTGACTGCAAGGAAAACACCCCTAATTAGTCAACATTTATCACCCGCTTATTGGGTGTAGTAGATATATCCTTCCCCCCTTCCCCCCCACAAGGAATTTGTGCTATTTATAATTCATCATCATCAGCGTCATGAGGTAGCATGTCCTTTGCAGACAGAACATTACTCTCATGGTGATATGCCAGAAAGCCACTTGATTCCTTGCCAGCCTAACCATCTTGTCAACGTTCATGCCCAGGGTGCTCTTGATATCCTTTGTCCACCTTCATGCTTGGTTAACCCCTGCCTCGTCTCCTGGGCATGATACCTTTTTTCACTGTTCTCTGCAAACCATTATGGCATATAATAAAGCCAGAGTATTTCAGTTATCGAGAGACGATACCGTCTGTCAGCCAGTTCATTCTTGATATTCAGATCATGGAGAATATCCATACTTTCCCTCCTCATTCATTTGGACCAAGAGTTTTAATTAAATCAGATCCGGGAAGGATAACCGGGGCAATAAAAGCCTGTAGAAGTCGGATGTGTTGGCCGAAGGGCGCAAATATTGCAGTCATGTTGTAAACGAGCATAACATATTAACATCGAATGAATGCAGAAGAAGATTTAATTTCAGATATCAGAAAGATGTCAAATGCCAGTAGTTCCCATGCTATGCACATGACAAAATATTTAATTTGGTAGTTTTTTTTAAAAATATCTGGGGAGGCTAACCCGGGCAGCAAATGTCACAGAATAGTAGATAGAGAACACACATAATGCTAAAGAAATGACACGTAGAACTGAATTGGTTCACTGATCAGGCATGTTTTTAAATATGCAGTTGAAATGAGAATAAAAATGTTCAGTCATATATATTGTATACAAAAGGATCAGTTGTTAATCTTAGACTTATGTGATGAGATGCATCTGTAGTTATCCCCCTGTGGGATGCAATTTTTCGTTACTTCAAGCCCTACTCCGGCTCTTGCCGGGGGCCGCAATATAGCCAGGCCATAAATAGGGTCTAATGGCTGAACGCGGTTTCTGGGACCTCTCCACGGGTGATCCCCATCCACATGGTGGCACTTTGTGTCATCAGGTGTTTATCGCTTGTGTGATATCCTGGTGGGGTAAAAGAAGATAGATAGATAGATGGTGAGATGAACAGTGTAACAGTAAATTATGTTTTTTCCCTTTGGTTTCATTAGAAATGGTTAATTTTGGGGACTTCATTATGTGTTGATGTAAATGCTTTAAATATGCACCTCACGAGTTACATTGAAATATGTCACACAATAAATCATATAATATAAAGTTTGTATCCCCATGATTAAAATCTATTTTTTTCTTCTAAGTATGCTAATATTGTATCTATATTTATACAGAAACTTGATGATTTGTTTTTGTTGAGAATATATGATGGAAGCACTCGCAAGTACTACCTGCCTTCTGACGTAGAATTACCACTGTACACTCAGTCTGTTGAAAGGTGGGTATTTATAAATTGGTATATATATTTTGTTTGTGAAGACTTAACTGATAAAAAAAAATGCCTTCAGAAGTCAGATGTGTCGGCCAAAGAACGCAGATATCGCAGCCATGATGTAAACGAGCGCAACACAGTGACATCTCAAGAGGTATGAAGAAGAAGAAATTGTTGGCCAAGTTGAAGTTTATAGCACATAGCTGTCCCACTTGTTTACAACTAGATGGTCTATATTTGTACTGATCATATAAGTTGACCTCTAGTTTTGTAAAGATTATTTTAGGCACCACTCGACTTATACGCCACAGTCTAGAGCAGCGGTTCTCAACCTATGGGTCGGGACCCCTTTTTGGGTCGTACGACCCTATCACAGGGGCCGCCAAAGACCATTATAAAAGACAATTTCATTGAAGTTACGAAGTAGCAATATAAATAATTGTGGGGTTCTTGGTGGCCACAACATGAAGAACTGTATTAAAGGGTCGTGGCATTAGGAAGGTTGAGAACCCCTGGTATAGTGTTATTGTTGTTCACTTCTTGGTTTGTGAGAAGTATGGATACCCGTGGCAATTACAGGTTCTCAAATAAAACATCTGGTACACGTTTTTTTGGTTTATGTTTTCAGAGCATTCTCTGCATCCCAAAAGAATTCTGGTGTGCCTCACATCAAGATTATTGCTGAATGGGACTCAAAGACAAAGTCACGGTAAGTTAATTACTGAATTTGTCTTTTGCTTTTTTGTCGGCCATCATCAGGTGCTGTGCAGACTGGCATGAATGATCGTGCCTCTATACAACCTGCAGTCTCCATGTATCAATCACTTCATGTGCTGACACCCTTCCAGGCATAACAGAAGACTGCCAAGAATCTTTTTGTATTGTGGTTATAAAGTTTACTTTAGCTTTAAGTAAATTAACTTACATTTGTAGGAAGTTTGTACCCTCCATAATAAGAGTACTGCTGTTGTAGCTACATCCTGATGTAGCTTCCAACTGGGCATGCAATGTCACATCTGCAGAGTCTGGATGTAACCAGCATACACAAACCGGCAGAGATGGGAGACAAGTGAATATTGTTTCTTCTGAGGCGTTTAGATATTTTATTGTCAGCAACTCTGCAGTGCCCATAGCGACCCGTATGGTTGCCTTTACCTGGTTTGGAAGTTATTGGGTGTTTCATTCATGGCGAAACCCAGTATTTTGTTCATAACTCAGATGCTAATACCCCATGCGAAGTCGAGTGACATCATAACAGTTGCTAGAAGTGGCCACCATTGGCCTCCAGGCAGCATGGGATGCAGTGTTCTATGTTGTGGAAATTCTGTCTCAGTACGTCAGGTGTCACTGCCAGGACGCCAATGGTGGCCATTTCCAGCAGCTGCTATGATGTCACCTGATTTTGCATGAACGGAGGTAAGCCCACTCAAAATGTCGTTGCTATATCTTTATTAATGTTTGAGTTATGAACAGAATACTGGGTTCCACCCCGAGAGAAACACCCTAAATTTAGAAGTGTTTTGCCTAGTAACAATAAGTTGATTATGTACTGTTTATTATGCTATTTTATATCTAAGGAAATTTGTGAACATTAATAGGAGGAATTCAGAAAGAAAAAAAGCGAAGAAATGTGCAAAATGTTTTGACAACTGCTGGTGCCAGTAGTTGAAAGATAAAGCAGATGGCAATATACTGGGCACATCCTGTGGAAAAGTAAACAGAGAATCGCCAGACAGGCACTTAAAGTGGAAACAATTGGACAAGAAAACAGTAAGATGAAAGTTGATAAGAAAGGCCGAAGGTGCTGGACTGGATTCCATCCATGATATTCAATCAGTTGCACAGGATAAAATAGAGTGGAAGAAGAAACTGTGAGTCCTGTATCATGTAAAACGGCACAAGAGGATTATGATGATGATGATGAATCATGACATTTATGTGAAATTGTCATACAACAGGATAATGATGAATCATGACATTTATGTGAAATTGTCATACAACAGGATAATGACGAATCATGACATTTATGTAGAATTGTCATACAACAGGATAATGGTGAATCATGACATTTATGTGAAATTGTCATACAACAGGATAATGGTGAATCATGACATTTATGTGAAATTGTCATACAACAGGAAAATGATGAATCATGACATTTATGTGAAATTGTCATACAACAGGATAATGACGAATCATGACATTTATGTAGAATTATCATACAACAGGATAATGGTGAATCATGACATTTATGTGAAATTGTCATACAACAGGATAATGGTGAATCATGACATTTATGTGAAATTGTCATACAACAGGATAATGACGAATCATGACATTTATGTGAAATTGTCATACAACAGGATAATGGTGAATCATGACATTTATGTGATATTGTCATACAACAGGATAATGACGAATCATGACATTTATGTGAAATTGTCATACAACAGGATAATGGTGAATCATGACATTCATGTGAAATTGTCATACAACAGGATAATGACGAATCATGACATTTATGTGAAATTGTCAAACAACAGGATAATGGTGAATCATGACATTTATGTGAAATTGTTATACAACAGGATAATGGTGAATCATGACATTTATGTGAAATTGTCATACAACAGGATAATGGTGAATCATGACATTTATGTGAAATTGTCATACAACAGGATAATGATGAATCATGACATTTATGTGAAATTGTCTTACAACAGGATAATGGTGAATCATGACATTTATGTGATATTGTCATACAACAGGATAATGTTGATAATGAATCATGGTGTTTGTGTGAAATTGTCCTTTGGTTTGACTCATGTAGTAAGCAGAAGAAGGAAGAAAAAAAAAAGCAAATGTCTTTATGCTTAAACAATTTCAGATTTGTCGTTGATGACCGGGAACACATAGAAACCTCTGCCTCTGTTAAGAAAGCACAGAACAGCCCTCTAGGCCATGGGAAGGTTACTCTGGAAGAGTGCTTCCGGCTCTACACAAAGGAAGAAAAGGTGAAGAGATAAAACAAGATCTTATTGTAAATCATTTCTCTGTGCAGTTGATCCTGTTTCTGCGATTCTGATTATTTTGTTGGTGCTGTTGATTTTTTCATGTGTGTTATACTGATCAGTTGTCTGTGCTGTTGATAATTTTTCTGTTTTACTGATCATTTTGTTGTGTGTAACTGATTATTTTTCTGTGTTACTGATCATTTTATGAACAAATCTTGTGAGTTCTTGTGAGAAATGGAGAGATTACAAGAACTATTGGGACCACACCTATAATTAAGTTTATTGAAAAACAGGGACTTAAATGGTTTGGCCATTTAATTGAGGATGAATCCAATGATGCAAAGAGTGAGAGCGGACAACATGGAAGTAGAAACAACAAGAGATAGAGAACAGCCAAGAAAAAATCCAACGATGCCAGCAACAAGAGCGGATAACATGAAAGTAGAAACAACAAGAGATAGAGAACAGCCAAGAAGAAATCCAATGATGTCAGCAATGAGAGTGGATAACATGAAAGTAGAAACAACAAGAGATAGAGAACAGCCAAGAAAAAATTCAATGATGCCATCAATGAGAGCGGATAACATGAAAGTAGAAACAACAAGAGATAGAGAACAGCCAAGAAGAAATCCAATGATGCCATCAATGAGAGCGGACAACATGAAAGTAGAAACAACAAGAGATAGAGAACAGCCAAGAAAAAATCCAATGATGCCATCAATGAGAGCGGATATCATGAAAGTAGAAACAACAAGTGATAGAGAACAGCCAAGAAGAAATCCAATGATGCCATCAATGAGAGCGGACAACATGAAAGTAGAAACAACAAGAGATAGAGAACAGCCAAGAAGAAATCCAATGATGCCATCAACGAGAGCGGACAACATGAAAGTAGAAACAGCAAGAGATAGAGAACAGCCAAGAAGAAATCCAACGATGCCAGCAACAAGAGCTGATAACATGAAAGTAGAAACAACAAGAGATAGAGAACAGCCAAGAAAAAATCCAATGATGCCAGCATTGAGAGCGGACAACATGAAAGTAGAAACAACAAGAGATAGAGAACAGCCAAGAAGAAATCCAATGATGCCATCAATGAGAGCGGACAACATGAAAGTAGAAACAACAAGAGATAGAGAACAGCCAAGAAGAAATCCAATGATGCCATCAACGAGAGCGGACAACATGAAAGTAGAAACAGCAAGAGATAGAGAACAGCCAAAAAGAAATCCAATGATGCCAGCAATGAGAGCGGATAACATGAAAGTAGAAACAACAAGAGATAGAGAACAGCCAAGAAAAAATCCAATGATGCCAGCAACAAGAGCGGATAACATGAAAGTAGAAACAACAAGAGTTAGAAAACAGCCAAGAAGAAATGCAATGATGCCAGCATTGAGAGCGGACAACATGAAAGTAGAAACAACAAGAGATAGAGAACAGCCAAGAAAAAATCCAATGATGCCAGCAACAAGAGCGGATAACATGAAAGTAGAAACAACAAGAGTTAGAGAACAGCCAAGAAGAAATCCAATGATGCCAGCATTGAGAGCGGACAACATGAAAGTAGAAACAACAAGAGATAGAGAACAGCCAAGAAGAAATGCAATGATGCCAGCATTGAGAGCGGACAACATGAAAGTAGAAACAACAAGAGATAGAGAACAGCCAAGAAGAAATCCAATGATGCCAGCATTGAGAGCGGACAACAAGAAAGTAGAAACAACAAGAGATAGAGAACAGCCAAGAAGAAGATGGATTGAAGGAGTCCTAATACTTTGAGAATCCACAACATTACAGGGTACTGGTCAGCCAAAGGTGCCTTAGCTTGGATACTGATCATCTGTTAACATGCAGTGCCGAGAAGCACAAAGCAGAATATGAACTCCTTCTTATTTTATCATCTCACTGATGCCAGGTTGTAGCCCAATGTCATGGTTTTCTGAACTTGTTTTGCTCTTCTCGAGGGGCATGAATGGTGTATTTGTTTATCTGTTTTCAGGTTTCAGCTACACCATTTATCCGTCTCTTTCTTGGTCTTCCTCTCGCCTTTCCTCCCTGATGTTCTGCTGTAAAAAGTCTTATATGCAGTTTGGTCTGGTTGCACTAGATGGCTGAACCATTTCATTCTTTGCTGTCAATATAATTTAGATAAGATCTTATTTCCACTTTGTCTCTAGTGCAGGTATTTGTAACCCTGTCCCTTATGTTGTTTGTGACCTTACGGAGACAGAACATTTCACAGGTAGTTTTTTCTCTTCTAGTGCCTATTCATTGTAGAATATGGACAGAAGAAAGAAATTGATAATTTTTAATTTGCTTCTGATCATTTTCCATGCTTTTGGTCATTTTTCTTTACCTCTGATAATCAGTTAACTTTGCTATTGATGCATTCATTCTTCTTCTTTGTTGTTCTTTGCGTTCACCAGCTGTAATCTCTGGCGGAAAGTTCTGGTTGTTCATCCACTTCTGGACTGCAGTCCTGTTCCAGAACCTCAAGTGTTGCGTGTGCATCCGTTTTACAGATCTGACTCATTTGTATGCAAACTGCTGGTTTCTTGCCTCTCAGGCAGATGCACTCCGACTTCAAAGGAAGCTCCAAATTAGTCGGCTCTTACGACATGCTTGGGTAGGCAGTGGGTCTGTTCTTGTATTCCCTATAAAAGGGCCCTGGAACTCACACAGGGAGTATTCATTCAGGATATTAGAAGTTTAAAAGGCTAACATGGTATTGACCTCATCAGCAGTAGGTGTCGACTGGTGCATACAGACATTACGGCTATCAGGATTTTTTGACCTCATCAGCAGTAGGTGTCGACTGGTGCATACAGACATTCAACGGGTGTCGACTGGTGCATGACATTATATTGACCACATCAACAGTAGGTGTCGACTGGTGCATACAGACATTACGGCTATCATGATTATTTGACCACATCAACAGTAGGTGTCGACTGGTGCATACAGACATTACGGCTATCATGATTATTTGATCATATCAGCAGTAGGTGTCGACTGATGCATACCGATATTAGGGCTATCATGATTATTTGACTACATCAGCAGTAGGTGTCTACTGATGCATGCAGATATTACCGCTATCATGATTATTTGATTACATCAGCAGTAGGTATCGACTGGTGCATACAGACATTACGGCTATCATGATTATTTGACTACATCAGCAGTAGGTATCGACTGGTGCATACAGACATTACGGCTATCATGATTATTTGACCACATCAGCAGTAGGTGCATCGACTTACGGCTATCATGATGCATACAGCAGTACATTACGGCTATCATGATTATTTGACCTCATCAGCAGTAGGTGTCGACTGGTGCATACAGACATTACGGCTATCATGATTATTTGACCACATCAACAGTAGGTGTCGACTGGTGCATACAGACATTACGGCTATCATGATTATTTGACCACATCAACAGTAGGTGTCGACTGGTGCATACAGACATTACGGCTATCATGATTATTTGACCACATCAGCAGTAGACTGTGTGACATTACGGCTATGATTATTTGATTACAAATTCACAGTAACCAGTAGTTTTGGTGTCGACTGGTGCATACCGATATTATTTGACTACATCAGCAGTAGCTGCATACAGACATTACGGCTATCATGATTATTTGACCACATCAGCAGTAGGTGTCGACTGGTGCATACAGACATTACGGCTATCATGATTATTTGACCTCATCAGCAGTAGGTGTCGACTGGTGCATACAGACATTACGGCTATCATGATTATTTGACCACATCAGCAGTAGGTGTCGACTGGTGCATACAGACATTACGGCTATCATGATTATTTGACCACATCAGCAGTAGGTGTCGACTGATGCATACATTTTATTTGACCACATCAACAGTAGGTGTCGATGGTGCATTACGGCGATCATGATTATTTGACCACATCAGCAGTAGGTGTCGACTGATGTATACAGACATTACGGCTATCATGATTATTTAACTACATCAGCAGTAGGTGTCGACTGATGCATACAGATATTAGAGCTATCATGATTATTTGACCACATCAGCAGTAGGTGTCGACTGATGCATACAAATATTACGGCGAGCATGATAATTGACCACATCAGCAGTAGGTATCGACTGGTGCATACAGATATTAGAGCTAACATGATTATTTGACTACATCAGCAGTAGGTGTCGACTGATGCATACAGATATTACGGCTATCATGATTAATTGACTACATCAACAGTAGGTGTCGACTGTTGATTACAGATATTACGGCTATCATGATTATTTGACTACATCAACAGTAGGTGTTGACTGGTGCATACAGATATTACGGCTATCATGATTAGCTAGCATGATATCCTGGATGCTGTAATTTCAAATCTTTACCCAGATAGGCTATTATCACATCATCTGGAAAGAATGTCAGCTGATGATGCCATGTTGCAGTTTGTTTTAATGTGAAACCATGTTTTGTTTCAGCTAATTGGAGATGATGCTTGGCTGTGTCCTCACTGTAAACAGGAGCAACAAGGCACCATCAAAGCCTTAAGACTTTGGTCTTTGCCTGAAGTTCTTGTTCTCCATTTAAAGAGATTTAAGCAGGTTAGTAGTTGTTTGCCGTTTAAACAGCAGCAGCGAATGTTTTCTAAGAGAAAGAACTTGCATTCAGACATTCCCCCCCACCCGCCATATTGAAACCAAAGCAAGAAAAAGACCACGCAAGAGATGGAGCAACATCATCAGGAGCAAGCAAACAGAAATGAACACCAACTTGTACAATGTATTGGAAAAAACACACAAACAATCCTTACATCTCTCTCTCCCCCACCCCCCTCAACACCTCACTGGGGTAAATGGTGGAAGAGAAGAAGAAGAAGAGCCTCATGTTTTAAGTATGAGTACATGACCCTCCGGGAGCCGCTGTGGTGTAGCAGCTAGACACCCACTCACCTTGCGCCTTAAAATTGTGGGCTCAGATCTGTATTAAGC